CCTGGCAGGTCAGTAAATCTCAGGGATTTTCCCATCTCTCCCTTCTCGGCTCTGGAATTATGGATTATATGCCACATCCCAACCTGACTTCTTAAAATATGGTTTAAACTCAGTTATCCATGCTTTCACGACAAACAATTAATCAATCTCCGCTGTTACTTATTAAAATTTATTTTGGATTTGATTTCTAATATGGACGGTAATTCTATATGTGTGTCAGTTTATGAAATTTAATCAAGTTGAGATTTTAAGATTTATTCATGTTTCTGTTTTATGTATTTTACAGTTGAATCATGTTTATAAGCACATCCGTTAACAAACTAAATTAGCAGAACAATAATCATCACAAAATCTTTATTGTATGAATAAAAATACAACAAGAAATACAGACAAAATCCAGTGTGTGGATCACTTGCTTACAGTTTTTAACTGGGAAATTCATTATCATTTTAAAATTTTAAAGGAAATATTGAAATAATATTAGAAAACATTTGGGAGAGATCACAATCTTTATAATATAAATTCACAAACTGAATCAGATCAAAATATATAATAGGCTTGAATATGAAAATTAAAATTCTGTCTGTAATTGCAACTTGTTCATGAGGCTGAGGTCATAAATTCAGTGCCTGCTTAGGATCAAGAGTGAGTTCAAGGCCAGCCTAAGCAACTTAGTAATTACATACTAGTAAACATTAAAATGATATCAACATCTGAAAAGTACTTTTGATAGATTTTTATATAAATGTTTGCCCACTGTGGAGATAGAAGTTACTCATATTATCATGGTGTGTATTTCTAAACCTAACAAGTAAAATATTAATAAATCTTTTCTCAGAATTTGTATGGAAGTAAATATCACATAGATCATAAGTATAAACTAGGTATTCATGTATCAAATGAACCCTAGGGAATAAGCATTTTAGTAGAAGATAACATGTCTGAAATATTTTTCTCATGGAACTTTATGCTGTACTTTCTTTTTCAGTTATTAACGTCATCATGAAATTCAATTGACATTTAGATGTTATAAATGACAGTGTTATGTGTCAGTTAACACCTTTTTGTCACTATGATGATCAAAACACATAAATGTAAATGACTGGATTTCAATCTGACTATCCTCATTCTCTATTTTGATTCTTCCCATTGCCTTAAAGTCACACCATTGTGAATGCCCAAATATGAACTAAACAGGATAGCACCAATGCATATGCCAAAGCAGACAGAGAAAATTCCATGTGACTTGGGAGTGGGAGATGTGGTCTTCCCAAGGGAACCGCATACCAATAAGCTGTCCAGTGTCAAATGATCAGTCCTGACAACATACATACAAGTAACATATGGATAGAGCATATTATATATATATATATATGCAAGAACAATTAATGAAAGAAGAGGACATGGATTTGAAGAGGAACAGGACAGGTTATATGGAATAGTGTGGAAAGGGAAGGGGAACATGTTATAATTGCATTCTTATAATCTCAAAAATTAAAAGATATTTTAAGACAAGCAAAGTTGATGAATGAGCGATAATTCATACACTTTTGTTTTTAAATGAACTCTACCTCTAGATATACAGAAGGAATTAAAAAATGTAAGTTAAATATTAGGATATCATAGTCCAATAAATAGTCAACCATGAAGCCAATAAAGTGGGTAAGAGTTATTCTTCATTCCCTGTTATATTACAAGTGACACAAATATCCACTGGTAGCTCATTGTTTCTGAAGGATTCTATTCACCAAAAATTTAACATACAGTTTTATATGCAAGATACAGCAATCGATATGGCAAAGGATACAAATGTGAGTAATGTACATTTTTATCTTGGACTGCAAATGGTTACAGTGAATTGTTTCTTACATGAAGTACCTCTTATAATTAGATTTTTCTTCTGTGTCAGAGGTGGATTACCTTTGACAGATTTGCACTTTCAGAACCTTTAGTTAGAAATGAGAGCCATATCCTCAGTAACATTCATATCATTCACTTAATGCATTATTTAAGCAACATCTTTAATTAGCAAGACTATTCTGTATGTACATATTACATCAAATATTTTGTCATTTTCATATTTCTAGTTCTTAATCAGTGAGTTGTTAACTTGTTTCCAAACTACAAGCTGTTAAGGAGTGTAGGTACTTAGAGGATAAAAGGACAGATTAACTATTAATGTAATGTGCTTGCAGTAGTTGACACCCTACTTAGCATGACCATTATGTACTACAGCCTACAAAATTATTCTTCATGCACCCACAGCAGAGCTAGAGTGCCATATGGCCATGCTTGTTTTTCATCAAATAATTTTTACACAAACAGCTGGTGAACTGTTTTTATTGTAACAGTGCACATATTTTTTGAGACATTTGGGAAGGATTGATGTAACTCTATTCAGTTCCTGTTTTCATGTCAATGTTGAGGAGAAATTTGAATTTATATTTTTAAAATGTAAAAGCTTACATTCATGATAAGTTTATAAGATGTTTTATTATTTAGTGCAATACTTAGTGTCATCTTCAGAAATTGGTAACAAGATATGAAATTAATCATAAGTAATCTCCAAGTTATGATAGCATATTCAGTGTTTTTATCTTTACAGTCTCATGAATTTTTAGAGGCAGAGCTGATATGTTTGGGATGATTTCACAGGCAGTTTTAACATTACTATATTTGGTTTTGAAACATAGCTTCAACACATTATGATAAGTGATATCATAACCAGAAGATTTTTAGCAGTTTTGTATGAATCTCTGGTTTGAGTTGATTTGAAGATTATTTTATCCAAAAGCACACTCTTGTCTTCCTTAACAAGAAATGTCATCTGTTAAAGTCATTAGTGGGTTCAAAAGTACAAAATAAAGGCGTGTTCTTTTGAATCCTAAAGTAATCATGAGCACTGCACAGGTCTTTGGTAAAGAGATTATTAGTGCTTAGAATGCCCAATTGTAAATCTTTAAACCTTAAATCTAATTCTATATTTAGTGTTTCAAAAATCTCCTCTTTACTAGAAGACTGCTGTACTAGAACACTGATGAGGATTTATGCTTTATTGTATTTCATTGATTCATTTTCTATAGATTATTTGAAGCTGAAATGTTTAATTACAGAAGAGAATAAATGCTTACATCGGAAGTCTAACACTGAAAAGCTTATTACCTTTTTTAATTATTATGTGTCTGTTTTGAACAAAATGAAACTTGAATAATCAAGAATGCCTATGTGTTATAAACCATTAATATACATAAAACGTAGTATTAAGGGAGAATTTTCCATACTTAACCACTTTCATTATATTCATATATCTGTCATTTACAAGTTTAATTGTATCCCTTTAGAGGCAATCAAATATATTTTTGTAAAATATCTTATTTTTATATACAACTTCAGAAAGATGGAATTTTGTTTTGGTTGTACTTATATTTCTGTTGATGTAATAAAAATCAACTTGAGGAGGAAAGAAAGCATCTGCTTATAGTTCATAGGCCATCTTGAAGGGCAGGAACTCAAAATAGGAACTTAGAGGTAGGAATGAAAGTAGAGACCCTAGAGCTGCTGCCTGGTTTGCTTCTCGTGGTTTGTTCAGCAGGTTTTCTTATAGAACCCAGGAATACTTTCCCAGCAGGGGCACCACCTACATTTTGCTAGACCTTCCCAACAGCAACCATTAATCAACACAAATGCCACTACAGACTTGCCTCTGGATCTTACCCTATTTCTGTGCTCTGTTCCACAATGATCAGTGAGCCTTGGGAGGGGATATGTGATATATAACATTTCTTTTAATGCAGGCATTTTCTCAATTAAGTTTCTCTTCCCATATATTCCTAGTATGTGTTAATTTGAAAAAGAATCCTAATAACACAATTGACCAGTATAATTTCATGCTGTTTAAGTTTTTATTTTGTCTTTTTTAAAAACTATATTAGTTCCTTTGATATTTCTTATAATATATCTTGATCATTTTTACCCTCTTCCCCCAACTCTTCCAAGACCCATCCAATTCCAAACCCACCAAACTTTGTATTTTTGTTTGTTAAGATCCCCTCAAGATCAATTTGTGCTGCCCAAATTTTCTTAGATATATATCTTACAACTGAAATGTGGTCCTTTAACCATGAACTGAATTCATAGATAAAATGGACTCTCCTTCTACCAGCAGCAAATAATTGCCAATGGTGCCGGAGGTAGGGGTAGAATTTTGTGCATAGCTACTCTTTTCATGCTGGTATTTGATATCACAACCGTCATGAATTCATGTGTATAGCTTTCCTGATGTGTCCAGAAGACAGTTTCCTTGCAGCCATCCACCCCATCTGGCTCTTGTACTATTTCTGTGCCCCATTCCCCAATGATCTGTGAGCTTTGGGAGAGGATATGTGATGTATATCATTTCATTTAGAGCTAAGCATTCTGTAGTCTCTTATTTTCAGTGCCTTGGCCAACTGTGGGTCTCTGTTAATCACTGTCTATTGCAAGTTGAGACTTCTCAGATGAGGGTTGAGAGGTACATTAATCTATGGACATAATGGCAAGGCCCTAGAAGTTATTTTAATACCATGTCCATTTAGAATAATGGCAGTAGGTTTTTCTCCTATGATCTGTCTAGCCATAGGTTCTTGACTTAATAATGGGGCCAAGTATGGGTTTCGTCTTGGAAAGCTGGGCTTTGAGTACAATCAGAAAATATTTGGCTACTTCCATGGTGTTTGTGTCAATATTATACCAATAGACTTGTCTTGTCAGGCTAGTCATTGTTGTATCCTTCAGAATTCACAGCTGCATAAGACTGATGATTAAGTAATTCATTTGGAATAGGTGTACAGTTAATGGATGCATTTTTTATTGCAAATAATATTTTATTGTACAACACACTACATTTGATATACCCAAGTGCCAGTTAATGGATATTCTGAATCCAGTATCTGGTTATCATGAAGAATGCTGAACTCATGTAGTCATGGTGGCACACACCTCTAATCCAAGCACTCAAGAGTCAGAGGCAGGTGGATCTGGCCTACAAAGTGAAAACCTATCTCAAAAACAAAAACAAACTCTGTATACACTTTCTATAGGCATGGCTTCAGATTCAGTTCTCTTGGTTAAAGCCAAGACTTGCTGAAGTTTGAAGTAACTCTGTGTCACCTTTTTTTTTTTTTGGTTTTTGTTTATGTGCCACAGTGCCTGTGTGGAGGTCAGAGGGCAACTTTCCGTTGTGGTTTCTCCTTCTACCATGTGGGTCCCAGGAGTCAAACTCAGGTTCTTGGCCATGGACCTGTTTGTTACAACCCCATCTTGTTACCTTTTCAAGAACTAATAGTCTGTTTTCCAAAGTGGCTGCTGATAGTCTACCTTCACCTGAGCAATGCATGGTTCCAAGCTTCCGTCTTCACATCAGTTCACTTTGTGATCGCAGCCACCGCAGTGGAAATGTTAACGCCTTGATGAGCATTCGTGATTAGTGTGATCATCTTTCCATGTGCTACTGGTGCTTTATGACGGTAGCTTTGGGCCTGTGCAAACCGCATGGAGATCTGAAAACCTTTCAGTTAAGATTTTGCTAAAGTCAATGTCCTTTCTAATTCCTTTAGCTGCATATTGCCTTGAGTAATCATCATACGGATTGTATCCTCTTCCGTGGCACTTTTGTTTCTTTTGAATTCTTCCCTGGCCCAGTCCTGAAGGTACTTTCGGTCAGCCTCGCTTGGAACTTGCCTAATGGCTCGCAAAATCTTTCTGTAGAGGAGGAGAACTTGTTGCCTTCTCATGAACTGCTTCAGCATCAGCGCCGTGGGAGGCAAGCGAGAGGACGCCATGCCGCCTACCCAGGCAGCCGCCTGATGGATGCATTTTTATCAGTAACTTATTATATGAACATGCAACACTTAATACCAGTTTGTCCCTGCGGATTTGAATTGATTGCCTATTGTTTATTTTATTCTACATATGTTGTTTTTACTTAGCTATTAAAAGTTTGATAATTAGGGGCAGGAGAGGTGGCTCAGTGGTTAAGGGCCTTGGTTGCTCTTTTCAGAAGTCCTGAGTTCAATTCCCAGCAACCACAGGGTAGCTCTCAACCATTTATAATGGGATCTGATGCCCTCTCTTGGTGTACAGACATATATGCAGGCAGAACATTGTATACATAATAAATAAATAAATCTTTTTAAAAAGTTTGCTAATTAATAATTATTCTGAAAATGTATCCTTTTCAACTAAATCAATTAATTACCAAAAATTTAAGTTTAAATAGGAGAAAATCAACTATACAAATGAATTCAACTAAAATAGAGCATGTGGCTAGTATTAGGTAATACTCCATGAGCCTATTGCATTTCTGCATATCTTATAAGTAAGACATCATTTTACCTTTTTAAAAAAGGTCATCTTATCAAGGAATTTCGTTTGTAAACACTTGGGATAGAAAAGGGTCATTTCCATGGTATCAAGAAGGCATGCTTATTTGCCATTATTCACAACACAGGTTTAAGTCTTAGATTCCTATCCTATGATGTGACTGACCACTTGCTATGAACTCAAGTAAAAATCTCCATGCTGCTCTGCAAACATTGTAAGAAAATGTTAGTACTCTGGCTATTGCTATTACTATGAACAATAAAGTTATTTGTGTCTTATCCAAGAGTGTTATGTCTTTTGGAGCACTCATGCAACTGAGACAGGATAATATTCAAGCTTGCTAGAGGGGTCAAGTCAAAGGCTTCATATAGTTCTTGATAACAACTAAAAATCTGTTTTCTCTATTAACCAACAAAAACATTGTCTCTGAAGTATATAAAAGTAGATAATATTTGTTCTTTTCTTATTTTTGTTTTATGACATAATTTAGTATCTTTTTTAACTTATTCAAGTTGAATAACTACCTTGAAAAACATACTATTAAAATGTATGACCTATAATATTGTGCAGAATGAAAGTAAACAAATAATATAGTTTTCATATACTTGCTTATTAAAGTGTCATTATAGGCATTTGTATTCTTGTAGCATTGTATTTTAACAAATATCAAACCCATTGAGGTTAAATAGTGATGGTAAAAACAAAGTCAATATTTTTAAATGTTATATTTGATTGCTTATGTTCATTCTTATTTTTCATAAATGTCAGGGAAAATTATCTATGATGTGTAAACATAACATATATGTTTATATTAGGGTTTTTTATATTGAAAATAGATTCTTCTCTCATACAATACATCCCAATCACAATTTCCCCTCCCTCCACTCTTCCCAGCTGCTTTCCACCTCCCTTCTCTCTCAGATCTACTCCCCTTCCGTTTCCCTTTAGAAAGGAGCCAGTCTCCAAGATGCAACAGCCAAACAAGACAAAACAAGATACTAAAATAAGACAAGGCAAAAAAGCCTTCATGACCAGGCTGGACAAGGCAACCCAATAGGATGAAAAGAATCACAAGAGCAAAACACTCATATTGAGAATGGACAAGTCCTCCAATAGGAGGAAAAGATTCCCAAGTGCAGGAAAAAGAGTCAGAGACATATCCACTTCCACAGTTAGGAGTCCCACAAAACCACCAAGCTAAACAACCACATGTACTCAGAGGACCTGGTGAAGACCCATGCAGGCTCTGTGATTGCTTCTTCAGTGTCTGTGAGCCCAAATGAGCTCTGCTTAGTTGATCCAGTGGGCCAACTTGCACTCCTTTTGGACTCCTCAATCCCGTCAGACTCTCACAATCTTCCCTTCTACTCTTCTGTGGGGTTCTCTGATCCCGAGGGGAGGGACCTGGTGGAAACCTCCAATTTAGACTATTTCTCTGCATAGTGTCTGGCTGTGGGTGTCTGTATCCACTCCCATCTACTGATAACAACTGGACAAGGCACTTATCTATGAGTATAGCAGAATATCATTGGAAAGTATTTTGGTTTTTTTGCCAGTCATACTTGGTTCTACTCTAGATCTCTGGGCTATCCAGTCTCCAGTTCCTGGGTATCTGGGCAGTGTAGGGAATGGGCTCCCTCACAATTCATGGGCCTCAAGTTCACCCTGACATAGGTATTAGTTTTATAAAAAGAATTTGAGTGATATATGTGAATATTTAAGCCACGTCATTTTAAATACCTCTATTAATTACTTACATGTCTCTGTGACATGATAAAGAAGACAGAAAGTCATTCTAGTCACAATTTGCAGTTATCTTAAATAATTCTGAAAAATGGTTGCATAAAACTTTCAGGATTTCACTTGAAACTACAAAAGAAATAAAAGTCTTTAGCTTCTTAAGATTTATAAAACTTTTTGTCATAAGTTTAATTCTTTCTGTCTTCACCATATATTTTTAATCTTAAATGATACGCTATCACACACATGTGCTCTTACAGGGAATAAAAAGAAATATAGTTTTATGTCCTTAGTAATCTTATAAATGTTGTCATTGATTTCTACATAGGCAGCCCACATCATCATTGTCTATATCAGTGTAATACTTGCTAAAATAGAGTGTTGGGGAATATTATTTTAGTGTGTGTTAATTTTGTTTTTATTGCATTTGTTTCCCTCTGAAGCTGTGTTGCTGTGCCTGTCTAAAACACCTGATGGTCTAATGAAGACCTGAATGGCCAATAGCGAGGCACGAGAAAGGATAGGCAAGGCTGGCAGGCAAAGAGAATATGTAGAAGGAGAAATCTGGGAAAGAAAAAGAAAGGAGAAAGAAAAAGGACTCAGGGGCCAGCCACCCAGCTACACAGCCAGACACAGAGGAAGAGTAAGATTTACAGAAATAAGAGAATGGGAAAATCCCAGAGGCAAAAGGTAGATGGGATAATTTAGTTAAGAAAATCTGGCTAAAAACTAAGCCAACCTAAGTCTGAGCATTTATAAGTAATAACAAGCCTCCATGTATGATTTATTGGGGAGGTAGGTGGCAGGCCTTCCAAAAGAGAAAAAAACAAACAACAACGATGGAGGTCATCTTCTCTCTGTATTTCAAAAGTATCATTATGAGTTAACCAAAATATTGAATAGAGTCATATTAATGCATAACATAATGGAGCTGTGTTTAACAAACACAAGGGAGTTTTTCCTAGTACTCCAAAGATAAGAATTAGCTGAAATAAAAATAAATTCCACTTAATCATTTTATTCAGTTACACTTCGTGTTTTTTATGGAGATCTTAGAAGGTTAGAATGTATCTGTGATCCTTTAAGCATGTTTTCCAACCAAGACTATTGATAATAGCACACATTTGTAATCCCACCACTTTGGATATGGAGGGAGCAGGACCATAAATTCAAGCTCTACATAGCAAGAATATGTTGACAAGATGAAAGAACAGGAGGAGGAAGAAGAGAAAAGGTCAGAAACTTCAGTTGGATGGTGGTGGCCCATGCCTTTAATCCCATCACACAGGAGGCAGAGGCAATTGGATATCTGTGAGTTCGAGTCCAGCCTGGACTTCAGAGTGAGATCCAGGACAGGCACCAAAGCTGCACAGAGAAACCCTGTCTCAAAAAATTAACAAAAAAGTCATAAACTTCATAATTCAATATTCTATTACTAAACCTGTTTGTAAAGGCAATGGTAATATTTGTTTCTCATCTCTAGACAGTATGGTAAAAATCAGGAAAAATAAAACATTAAAACAGAAATATTGATAGTTGATATATATGTTATAAGAGAAATATTTATTTCTATTTAAAATTAATCTTACACTGTTAAAACTTAACTTATCCTCAAGTCTGATCATTTGAACTATGTATGAAAACCAGGTTGATAAAGTATTACAGCTTAACGAATGGACCAAAGAGTAAAGATGTGGTAAATATTAGGGATTAAATGTTTTCAGTGGAGTAGGTGACTGTAAGATTATTGAAGATACAGAGATTTCATAAGTGGCAGATATATCAAAAAGGCAGTAGGATATTTACTTCACAGATTATTTGACAAGATTTATTTTAGATCTTCACAGCAGGTTTGTGATTAAAAAAATCAGTGTGAATATCAGAATACAATCTACAGTGTAGCTCATAGTTCTCATCATAGAAGCTTCCATTTGCAGTTAATACAAAATAACAAGCAGAGAAAGTATGGAGGCTAAGTGATAGTGGAGTGTTCAGGCCTAAAGTTAATGTCTATATTACCCACCCTCACCACCTCCTGCAAGCCGTGGGGAACATTGTGAAAATAGATTGAAAGAGTGTAATTGTCAGTGATTGGGGAAGACTGCTGCAAAACAGTGTCATCTGAACACAATAGGCCTTTGCAATAATGAACTCACAGCAACTATTGTTCCCTCCACAGGATCTGTGAAAACGAAGTTAGTCAACATTCCAGCATGGAGAAAGGAGTGCTCAAGAAGTCAGAACCTTAGCTGGGGAGCCATTAGCAAATGATAGCTGCTGGGAGAGGGAGAAACATATTTCTTTAGGGATGTGTCCTCTGTGTCGTCACGTGTGCTCCACTGGATAGCCCTACACTCACACACATATAAGCAGCACTGACTGGTCTCAGTGGTTTATACATAAAAGAAGGCATAGAGTTGGAAAGGGCACATGGTGTGGAAATCAAGGAAGAGTTGGAGGGGAGGAATGGGAGGGGTATATGATCAAGATACTTTGTACACATTATAAAATTGTCAACAAAATAGTTATTAGAAATAGAACCTACATGTGAAATACGCATGTTAATGCATGTTCAAAGCACACTGATTACTTAAGTAACAATGTCAATGAATAGTCCATTCTGAGTACAGTACCTATGAGTTGAACAATAATAAAACAAATCCTTTCACCAAAGTCTAGAGTGTGTACTGATTTCTTACATACTATAACTTGCTCTTTTCTTTG